CCAGTCTGTCCGCCCCGCTGTCCCTGAAGCCGGCTGTATAATGAGCAGGGGAAGAATGTGGGAAGAATGTGTCTTTCATCTGGGGCGTTTGATGAAAACAAAAGCGAGGGGTGAGAGACGGTGCCGTGCCCCCCCTCGCCCACTGGCCTGCCCCCAGGGCACGCCCCTGTATCTGCTCCTCGGGTCGCTGGAGGCCGCCCTCGTAGGGATTCCTGAACCGGGGCCTTAACCCCACGCATCCGTCACCCTCTTCACAGCTCGGAGATAAGGAGCTCAGCTCTGCAGTCCGTGGCCCAGAGGCAGCATGGCTCTTAAATATATTTTCCATTAATGAGCGTTAAAAAGGCTTAATTCCTCACATCACCAGTGGAGTCGAGCAGCACACTTCTGGGAACCTATAAAATAAATATATGCTGCGTTACAATTTAATTACCCGGCAGTGTCCCTCACTAAAACCAAGCATCATTCATCACAGAGGGAAGTTAAGTCCAGTGCCTTTTCTGTGAAACGCATTTACCTACAGAGGATTGGGGGGTGGTCAGCGTGCACAGAGACCCCTCCCCCAGGTGCCTCGTGTTAACATCTGTAAACGTTTAAAGGTGCCGGTCAGTTTGGGCACGGCTCTTTGCCCGAGTTCCACAGGTGGTGTTTTCAGTGGAGCGGATAATGGAAGCATGGCTGCAGACGCCAGTGGGGCCCGGCTGAGCGACTTTAATTAAAGATAAACACCCTGAGGCAGGGGGGGCCGCAGGAGTGGGGGCCGTCATGCGGGACTCCGGCTGCGGTGCTGTCAGCTGTCTGTACACCGTTACTCATGCTTGTCTACCGCTTGGCCTCTGTCCTTAATACTATGTCATCCCCTCCCCCCGTCAGATCGCCAAGTTACGGCAGCAGCTACAGCGCAGCAAACACAGCAGCCGGCACCACCGGGACAAGGACCGCAAGTCTCCCTTCAATGGCAGCCATGCCGCCATCAGCCAATCACAGGTCAGAATTCGTAGGACTCTACATGCTCCTTTAATTTACTTAATATATGTAGGATATGTTTTTTTGCTATATATTTTCATTACCTTTTGTCTCACTCTTTTTATATTTCTCTATAATTTGCACGTTTCAATCTTGCAAGCCTCATCAGAGGCTTGCAATCACAGGCAAGAATACATAGGACTGTACATGCTCCTTTATTGATGGCCACTCTATCATCAGCCAATCACAGGCGAGAATACATAGGACTGTACATGCTCCTTTATTGATGGCCACTCTATCATCAGCCAATCACAGGCGAGAATACATAGGACTGTACATGCTCCTTTATTGATGGCCACTCTATCATCAGCCAATCACAGGCGAGAATACATAGGACTGTACATGCTCCTTTATTGATGGCCACTCTATCATCAGCCAATCACAGGCGAGAATACATAGGACTGTACATGCTCCTTTATTGATGGCCACTCTATCATCAGCCAATCACAGGCGAGAATACATAGGACTGCACATGCTCCTTTATTGATGGCCACTCTATCATCAGCCAATCACAGGTGAGAATACATAGGACTGTACATGCTCCTTTATTTTGATGGCCACTCTACTATCAGCCAATCATAGTTAAGAATGCACACAATGCACTCTTCTTGTTTGATCCTGTGACACCCATAAATATTCTCTTAGGCATATCAAGGTATGTGACTGTGAAAATAGTACCTCTTACCTTTTTTAAGTTTATGTATCGGGTTTGTAAATCATCTGACTGCTGGCAACATGGTGATTCGTCAAGAGATGGGTGAGTTTTTGCCAGTGGGTGGACAGCGGCAGGTAATGTTGGCAGAACCAGTGCTAACTTCAGAAGCCACGGTGCCTTGCGCCATTGGGCTCCTCACTGGGGCCGTGATTTAGTCAGACGGCAAGTCATAGTTGATGTGTGACACTTAGAGCACCATTTAGCCTGCACAATGACGGTTGAATTCAGTGCTATACATGGATACATCACCATGTTCAGAGCAGGTTCAGGATCGCTTGTAAATGTGCAGGTTTGAGGGCGGAGTCTCTGTGTGCTTGTGAACGTGTATATCAGGGCACCTGGACATTCACTTTTCTGTGCAAATGTGTGTGATTTGTACACTGGTTCATTTCACCAAAGCTTGTTGCTGTATTTGTTTGATTTGTACGTGTGTGTTGCCCCTTTGGAGCCCATGTGCGTCCTTCCCCTCTCTCCGCGTCCGTATGACAGGGCCGCCCGCGCTGGCCAGGTGCGGCTTTATTCACCCCCCTGAAAGGCGCCTCCTTGTCAGCGCATTCAATGGCCCAGACACTGGGCCCTGGCCTTCAGCTGCTAGCCAGTCTTTGTGTTTGCCCACAAATCAATTCGCCATTTGGTCAGCGGGCCCCACCAACGGCCCCGGCTGAGCTTGGCGCTGCCAGCAGCTCAATTCATAGCGTCCTGCGTGGTGTGTGTGTGTGTGTGTGTGTGTGTGTGTGTGTGTGGGGTGTGGGGTGTGGGATCTCTAGGTGGTTGTGTTTAGTCTGGGCCCTTCTGTCACAGCTGCCTCTGGCTTGGAAATGATGTTCATTGTGCCTCTGGATCATCCACACAACTGCGGTGGTTTCCAGTGTGTCTCTGAACGGACCATAGGGTTCTGTCGAGTCCCGGCTTTTGTTTGATGTGTGATCACCCCTGGGTGATCCAGGCTGTGTCATGCCAAGATGGACACAGTGTCCCCTCCGGTTGGCCCTCCGGTGTGTCTGGTGCTGAGAGAGTGCCCCCCCATAGACAGGCAGTCCCGTTAACATGCAATGATTTTAAAAAAATTGCAGAAAATTTGCAGATACTCTGCAGCAGGGACAGTAATCAATCGACAGTCACGTTACTGATTGTTGTGAGCAGTTGGCGTCGGAGCCGATGACGGATTCAGGCCTTGTCCAGACCTGGCATGTTGCATATACGTAGGTGTGTGTGTGTGTGCACACGCTGTACACCATGGTCTTCTGAGCCGTAATTAAAGGGGTGGCGTGTCTGTCTCCTCCCACTTTCTCTGGGGTCGCTCTGCTTTGCATTAGCCATGATGGTAAGCAGCTGGTTCTGAGCGCTGCTGAGTTGCCCGTTGATCACGGCATTGTGTGTTTGTGGGGAATGTTCATTCGCCAAGGCGGTCCGGGAATTAAACGTGTCTTCCCAGAAAATGCCCCGGCATAGCATATGCACCAGGACAGGCAGCTGGTGGGGTTAAACCACATTCTTCAGCTGACAAACCCTAGAGAGGAGGGAGAAGAATACAACTGTTGATTCTCAGCATTCATGCGGCAGCACTGTGCCTGCACGCCTGCCCCCTTCAGTTAGCTCTCATTTTAACCCCAGTCTCACCACCCCCCCCCAATCGAGGCTAATGACATTGATGTAAAACCAGGCTGGGTGTTAGCATGAGCGTGACCTCTGTTGGGAACCTGGGGCGGGGGGGATTGGAGTGGGGGGAGGAGAGAAGGCGTAGGCTGGGGGTTGGGGGTGGAGATGAAGCAGCAGTCCGTGTTACAGTGCTGTTAGGCTGCAGTGCTGTTAGGCTGCAGTGCTGTTAGGCTGCAGTGCTGTTAGGCTGCAGTGCTGTTAGGCTGCAGTGTGGGGAACAGGCAAGTGAGAGAAACATTCATTGGGTTAACGGACGTGATTTACAGGAAGTAAATTCCATCTGACCAGGTGCCGCTGCAGCTGTGAAGCACATGGATAGCTGTTGGTTTAGGTCTGATGAAGGACTCGTGTGAATCTCTGAAAAGCCGGCAGATGTTTAGCGTATAAAATGCTGAAAAGTATTATTAAGTGCCAGTGAAGTAAACGCAGGTCAGTTTTGTGCAGGTAAGGAGAAGCGGTGGGATGTGCAGGTGGTGTCTGTGGTGACCCCTGTGAGGCCATGTTGGAAAGATCCCAGATAAGAAACTGCATATACAGGGGACACAATTCCCAGGGCGGAGTAATTCGTCCAAACCCTGGTGCCGCATGGAGTGTTGGGTGAGTGGTTGGTGAGCCAAACTTACCAGTGCTCCTGTAACTCTTTCAGTGGCCAAGGTCGGGAGGCAGGCATCGGCTGAGTATTTCAGGGGGGGGCAGTGTGTTTGCACATGGCTGCCTGGTTAGAAGTCAGTTTCACTCGTCTTTATTCCAAATTGCATTTCTTGTCTCATTGCTTCTCACCAGTAAATCATCTGGGCTTATTCAGGTCTGTCATAGTTTTGTCCAGAACCTGAGGTTGGTTTCCAAAGCAGTCTGGGTGGCAATGCTGCCCACTGGTGGGGAAAATGGGAAACAATCTAGGAATTACTTATCTAATTTCTTGAGGCTTTGCACATTTATTTGCAGAAAATTTGCACCAACATGTGGTCTACTATTTTCCTTAGAGCGATCAGCCTTCCTCATTTGCCCTAGCCTATGCAAGATGTGACCCAAGACCGTGTGACCATTTTGGAAGCCAATTATCGGTGCTTCCTGTTATTCAGGATCTGAAAGTTACCAAGCATTCAAAGACATGACAGGACGTCTCCCTGTGTGCTGGAGGAGAAACTATTAGCACGCGATCTCTAATTAAAGTCAACTGTAGGTTGAGCAGACTCCATCTGTGCAGTCTGTTCAGTGGAGATGATGGGGGGGGGGGGGGGGGGGGGGGGGGGGGGGGGGGGGGGGGGGGGGGCTGCGGAGCTGGTCTCGGGCTGACACTGTGGACCGGCCAGACAGACAGTGCAGGCTATGGCCTTCCCTGATTGGCCTACCTACCCCAATCCCCCACCCATGTGAACTGTGAGCATGTTGAGTGCTCAGACTCAAACTAGAGGGTTGCTGGTTGGGTCTGCCTGTGCTACCCCCTCCCTGGGTGTCCTGTTGGTGCTGATTAATTAAATCCCAGCAGGGAGCAAAATCTCCAATTCAGTTGGAGGAGTCTCAGCTGATTTTAAACACGAGTTCCTCACATGTGCTTCAGATTGGTAGTAAATATCTTGTTCCCACCCAGCTGGTCACTCTCTCCTAAATCCATAATTCACAGATGTAAACAGACACTGCAGTGGCTCTGCAGACAGCCGGCATTCTGTTGTTGGTTTCTGAAGCAAACATTCGCTGACAGACCTGACAAAGGGGATGCTTCATTTGGTGCAGCACGCTATCCTGTGAGAGTCAGTCAGGCTTCCTGGCGTTCTCTGACAGCATGACATTCTATCACTACTCCAAATGTCCAGAAAGTTCACTGGAGGAATGGAGGAGTGCGTTCCTTGAATGCACGTGTGCGCTTGTCTTTGTGTTTGGGGCCCATCTCACTCCACGCAGACAAATTAGGCCAGCCTGTCACATGGCAGCCAAGTTTTGAAACGCCCCACTTTTTTTCCCAGCCCTGCCCCAGTTCGGCACCGCCTTGTGAAACTGGGAGACGTGGAAGGGCCTGTCCCAGCTGACGACAGACTGGTTTAAAATAGACGGCGCTGTGGCCCCAAATGGCGTCCGGGGGACGAGGGCACCAGCCCGGTCCTGCTCTTTGTACGGACCCGGCCTGCGGACGATGGTTACCGGTAGATCTAGACGCAGCCTGACAGCTGCCCCGCGAGAGACCGTCACGCTCTCAGCCACGTCGTGGCTCTGCAGCACGCTTCTGTCCAGAACCTTCCGTGCTTCGGCTTCCTGTTTCCGAAACGTTCCATAGCTGCTTCTCAGATGACAGGGAGTCATTTTCCTGAAAGTCACAGATGTAACAGGAGCATTCCACCTCGTGTGTTATGTGGAACTGTGGCAGGTATTGGCTACAGGGGAACAAGGACTGCGGCCACTGCTGTTGTACCCTTATGCTGTACCTGAAATGACTCGTTTTACTGCTGCATGTGTAAATAGATGTGAAGTTAATACTAGTATTTTGTGACCGGCTATTGGTGTGTGTGTATGTGACTCTGTTCCCAAGGATGCCAGCGCTCATCACATTTACAGCTTTGTTTGCTGCTGATCTGCTCTATCGCCTGCCAGTTGTTCCAGGTCTAGTTGCTCCTAAAGTCCCTCCTGCTGAATCCGGGCTACCAGACACTCTGGTCCAGCACTGTCAAGAGGATGAGTCGTCCTGGACGGGCTTGTGGGAAAGGGGGGGTGAGCAGGTCGGCAGAGTCTGGGGGGGGGGACATGGTCCACTGGGGTTTTGTTAGCCTCTCAGCGCTGAGAGTTGAGTGCCCAGTTCGGTTGTCATGTTACAGGGAAAAGTGAGTCAGGGAGGGAGGGAGGGGGGGAGTAAATAGGAGAGGAGGAGAGAGTGAGTGAGACAGAAGGAAGCAGAAGGAAGGATAAAATTTAAGGACTTTTCAGGATGACTGGAAGCGGGCATCGCGGAAAGGTGAGGGGAGGCTTTCCTGAAAGCTGCTTGTTTATGCCTGAGTCTCTGCGTTAGTGGTGCTGGACTGTGGAATGAAACGGCGGATCGGCACCCGACATGCAGCAGGATGGAGGTTCACAGCTTGGTTCATCCTCCCTGCTCCCTTTCCCATCTGGGCTGTCCGGGAGGGTGATGTTCCCGTCGGGTGCTTTGTGACTCCCTACGGGAGTCGGCTGTCTCCTAGCGGTGCCACATCTTCTCTGCCGCATGGAGATTCGGTCACCTGCTGGCACTGGCAGCCAGAGGGGTCATCCATGTGCGGGCTGGACACGGGGCTCTCGGGCCGTCTGCGTGAGGCTCCAGGAGGCAGCCAGTCTCAGGCAGGGAGCAGAGATCTGCCAGGGAAACTGAGTTATGTAACAGCGTGAGGCACAGCGGGGTGAGGGGGAGCAGTACAGACTGTGTGTGTGTGTGTGTGTGTGTGTGTGTGTGTG